TATGGAAAAAGGGAGTCGCGTAAATGGAGGAGGACATCGAGATAACTTTGGTCTTCGACCGGTAGAGAGGGTGGGAGTAGGAATTTTTCGTGGGAGGGAAACGGAAAGTTGTGTGCTCCTCAACCTGCAAAAGAATCCATTCTTTTGTTTTTAAAATTTCTTGAGGTCACACATTCCGTTTCAGATGGACATCCCTTCCTTCTCCACTGCCGCTCATGAAGAGTTGGCCTGATGCAAAGAAATGCTCCATTTAACATTTTCCGAAAGGATTCCTCTTGAATCATAGCTTAAATTTTCTTTTTAGAGGAACCAAACATTTCATCATTCCTTTTTAAACAACGATGGATCCCCACCTCCCCCTTCGCATCGCATTTTTTAGGATTTTCCAGAGTGTTGATCGTGAAATCATCATTCGATGACCCTGATTAATGAACCTTTATCCTAGCGATGCTCTTATCCATTAATATCATGCAATAACGACTCAATAATCCAGGCGCTGAGGGAGGGTGTTTGTCTTCGGAGAAAAAAATTCACAACTTTTAACTTAACTTGTCGGAAATCAGGTGAAGGATTCGGGCTAAAAAGGAATGAGAACCTCGATCTTCTAGTAAGTTTTCTCCCTTCGATTGTAGTCACCTTGCTCGTTAAAGCATTGCCAAAAATAAATTTCGTATTCAATCAAATGAATGAACAAAAACACACGGAAAAAGTCCTAATAATTTAACTAAAACACACAAGAAAACGGGTAACCAAGGCTGAATAACAACAAAACCTGAAGCCTCGAAGGGGCGTTTTGGAATGAACTCAATCCCTCCATCAACCAGGCAACAAAAATATATAATCAGTACAATTATAGTTTTGAAAAAGAGATTTTAATTTTACTTATTATTAAAGGGAAAATCGGGTAAAATCTCAATATTTGTTTCCTTCATTGTGAGTAGCCGAAAACCCAATAATTTTATTATAAATTTTTTATATATTTTTGTCTCTTTGTCGAGAAGGGGGATGGAACCAATCCGAAACTTTAAGGCTTTAAGTGTTCTTGTTTTTTAGCCTTGATTACCCTTTTTTGTGTTTTTCAGCCATCTGAATGATTTGTATTTATGAATCACACTGTAGTATACTTACCAGCCGGAGCGTGGAGACAACACGGACAATAGCTCAGCAACATCTGAACTTGCTCTCATTCCGCGAGTTTGAGGCAGAGATTTGGAGATTCCTCCAACTTGGAAGAAACAATGCATATTTTATAGCTCTGTGCAAAGTTCGGGGACGCGTTTAACCCTTAAACTCCTCGACCCCAGGGACGATCGTGCATTCTGTTCTTATCCGAGACTCTCATTCCGAGCATATCGCTTTTCGGCTTGATAGTCCGCAGATTATCGTTCAGTCTCGCAAAGTTGGTACTTAGAGAAGCAACGTACGTTTTTATTGTATAACTGCCTAGTTCTCAAAGGAGGTATAGGAAATCATTATGATCAGGAGTGAATTTTTGCGGATCTCCACGCTTACAAGGCAGTCTACGTCGGAGGAACAAAAAAGGTTTCATCTAATATCTTTTGCATCTTGCAACTTTCTCGTTCTCAATCTCAGCGTCTCGGCCCTTGTAAAGGACGCAGGAAATTTTACACAGTATAAGTAAAAGGATAGTAAAGGATAGTAAAGGATAGTAAGGATAGTAAAGGATAAGTATAAGTAAGGGGGCAATGGTGATTGGGCGTCGCAGAGCGCGAGGCTGCGCTATAAAAGCGGCTCAATGTATTTATAAGTAAAAGGAACCGTCATTTTTGGTTAATGTGGAGAGTAGGACACAAAGTATCCCAAGCGTGTGGTTATTATATTTTCATCCGCTTTCTTATGGGTTACATTTACGAAATCTTTTGGTTGAAAAATCCAACTTCCGCGGGAACGAGGCGTGATCCGCCAGGATCGAACCTGGATCGTATTGGTGATATACCATAGTTCATATCGTCACCTCTGTGACGTAAGGGCGTATCTCAATCTCTATATGAGCCCCGGTAAGCACAGAAATATACAGAGAACAGGGTTCACGTGAATATCGAGGTACGCCCTAACGTCAGAGGAACGACGATATATCGTCACCTTCCGGCCAAATTATCACAAGCGCCATGCGACGTTTAAACATTTTCGCCGCCATTTTATCTTTTTACAGAGGAATTGTTCAATGAAGCTGTCCGAAAATTTACTGAATTTGCTTTGCACTGCCGATAAAATTCAGTGAAATTTTCAAACATATTCAACCTACAATTTTTCTGTAAAGAAATTTAATAGCGGCGGAAATTTTTAAACGTCGCATGGCGCTTATGATACTTTGGCGGGAAGGTGACGATAGTGCGCTAGTCAGTCGCAAGTCAGGAGAAACAAGATTACTACACTACCGTGCTAAGAAAAAACGCCCCATGAGCCTTTAGACATTGCCAAATTTCTTTTGACTAGTCACGAATTTTCAAGAAAACTTGTTAATATTTTTCTTCCAATTTTCAGAGAATTTGTTCATAACTTCATCTAAAAAGTCTGAAATTTTCAACGAAAAATACGTATGACTTTTTTGGAAAAAAAAGATGCTTTATCCGGGGATTTGACAACTTTTGAATATTCATACGGCATTTTTCCTTAGCACGGCAGTAATACATTAGTTCAACACAGCTGTTTCTTTATCCCTATAGATGGCTCCTACGGCTATAGTAACCTACGGCTTCGGTCGATTTAACGAAAAATTCAATCTATCAACCAAGTCCTTTTGGTTGATCTGATCGATCTCGCGGTGTTTCTCTCTGAACTCGGCAGTGAAAATACACGCGGTTCCGAGCGAGTGGAGGGATAAATAAATTCGGGGATTCCTCGCGGGGTCCCGCCGGAAGGGCCGAAACCAAAGGAGGGTGTTAAACTTGCGCAATTAAATCAAGATATCAAGTACGCGGTAAGCCCGATTTAGGGTCGGAGTGCCTTGACGGGGCCTGTGTTGCCGCCTTTAATGAATTTCCCGAATCCCTCACATATAGTTCAGGCTCAAAAATCGAAATGAAATCGATCCAAGTCAAAGAAATTGTCGATTTTCATGCAGATGATTACAATCGTGCTATTTACGTTTCTGTTCCTTGATCCAGTCAACTCTCGTCTATTGTACTTCATTCGAGGTTTTCGGCGGTCTGGGAAACCGGGAAAGTCAGGGAACTTGAGGAGAAACGCGTCGGCCCACAGTGGATCGCGTCAATAGTAGAGGTTGGACAAAATTTAGAAACATTAAAAGCTTAAAACTACGTCCATACATAATTTTAATGCTCTGAAAGTGGTTCTATTGGTTTCTTCGTGAAATTTTCTTCCAGGAGCACTCCTTAAAATTCAAAATGTGGCGAAATAAACATCAAAATTTGCAGTTTTAGTCAAAAATTGTCTGTCCGGCCTCTCTGATTGACTCGATCCACACTGTGCGGCCCCTGCGGCAATGCTACCATCGGTGCCTTTTTAAAAACTTCTCGGTGCCTTTTTCCGTATAATTTGAATTTTCGGAAGTGGGACTCTTGTCTAAAGTTAAGCGAAGATTATTATATTCAAAAGAAGAAGAGGATTCCACTTATTGTTAATGTTTCTTCTACTCCCTTATTGGTGGAAGTATTTGCATCGAAAAAGGAGGAGACTTTCGTCCTTTTTAAACGTTGTGAGGTCCTTTAAAGAAGGGAGAGAAAGGCTGAACTTAGAATAAGTGTGTGTTCGTCCATCTGTATTTCCTCCGCTGTGACACTATCGTTTCATATATCTCAGCGTCTTATCACTCCTTCTAAATTTACACAGTGAACCACCCTCATGGTCCCCCAATGCCCATTGAGTATCCTCGTGGCACAAGGATATTTAAGGGAGTTACGGGGCACAAAGAAGAAATCGGTTTTGCGCCCAGGTTTATTCTACATCTCGACTACATCTCGATTGTCACCGCCGTTACTTACTAAGGAGAAATTCTATATGAGCGTTTGAACGTTGTCAAATTTTGTTTTAAAATACAAATTCGCGGGGAACCAATACGCTTTTCCTCCAATTTTTCCGGGAATTTCATTCGCAGCTTGATCTGAAAAATCCGATAATTTTAAGGGGAAATAATCACGGTTTTCTTCAAAAACAAATACACTGGAAAAAAAACACATTGGATCTAGAGTCCAGACTCCTAAAAACATCGCCAAGAAAAAATACTTTTGATTCAATCAGATTTTTGCGTAAATCAAGAACCAAGCCTCTTTTGAGCGGATTTCCTTTTGATTTAAATCTGATTGAATCAAGAGTATTTTTTTTGTCAATGTTTTCAAGAGTCTGGACTCTAGATCCAATGTGTTTTTTTCCCCCAGTGTATCCCATTTGAATGACTTCGGCAACACTAACACGTTCATACTAGGTTTTCTCTCAGCACGAGAGATCGGACCCTCGCAACTACCCGCTCGAGAGGGCCGGAAACGTAACGTCGCCATGACACTGACCGTTTCGTTTCATCTCGACGTAAGGACGTAAGTGCACCCCAAGGTGCGCCCTATTTCCCGTGTAACTTCGCCCTTCCCGTGTAAATGCACTTACGTCCTTTCGTCGGAGGATTTTCCGTGACCACTTCATCTCAACGTTAGGACGTAACTGTACCTCGAGGTGCGCCCTATTTCCCGTGCGATCCCGCCCTTCCCGTGGACGTGCAGTTACGCCCTTTCGTCGGAAGAATTTCCCTGACGCAGCGCGCGCCCGGCACGTAAATAAATAAGAATAACAATGTCAACAAAAGGCGGCTAAAAAAGGAAGCTCGCCTCGCAGGACCATTATGAACATATTGTGGTCGGGATGCCGACCCCCCCCCCCCCCCCCNCGCCCCGTGTAAGAACTTTTGATTGGGGTCGGTTTGGGGGGAGGGAGGGGGGCTGAGGTTAGGGGCGGCGGGGGTTGAATCCACGCTGTCATGAGGGATATTGAGTTCGCGAGTCGCGAGTCAGTACGCTGCTCCTCGTACCTAGGGCGCCACGCTCGTCGCGCTCAAGAAGCCGGGTCCCACGCGTGATTTTCGATTTTCGGATTTCGGATTTCGGATTTTTCCCCGATCCAGCCGAGTTTTCGACCGAAATCTGTCGTGAAACGGTCATAGTTGCATGTACCGTGGATTTTTTATCTTGTCGGTCGAACATTCGCGGAGCCGAGAAATTGAAATTCGTGCCGGAAAATCGACTTTTTTTCGAGATTTTCCCGATTTTTAAAGTTGGATTTTTGGCGATTTTTCTGAAAAACCGGTGCTTTCGTGGTGAGAAAACTCTTCACAATGTGCGTGAAGTTCATCGCGTTTGGATTTTATCATTCCTGCAGTTTTTTATCCGCCGCGCCGATGATTTTAAATTCGTGCTGAAAAATCGGTTGTTACTCGACTTACGTCACAACGTCTACATAGCTAAAATCAGGAGGCACCGATTTGTGCAGTGAGCAATCAGTTTTGCTAGGTTTTTTTGAAACTTAATGTGTGTTCGCGCCAATTGTGATGGGTGGGATTTTATGATGTTCGAGGTTGAATCTTTGAATCGTCTTGAGGAAGGTCCAGTGGATATCAGGAAGGGAGACGAGAATTGAACATGGATGTAATCGGATGGCTACTGTTTTGAGCCGTGCTGCGTAAGTTTAAGGATTTTTCTTTGCTCGGTGACGAGATTTATAAGTGCATAAAGTTATGAAGTTGTCTATATTTTGAGACCGAAGAAGAGGGCCTGTGGAGTCATCTAAAATAGGACTGGCCCAGCTTTTAACGGTAACTGAATCAACAGTAAGCAAGTAAACGTTTGTGGGCTTGAATTTCTTTGGAAACTTGCTGAAGGGAATAATTCTTGCAGTGTGGCAAAATTGTTAGGAGGAGTGAGCAAGCATGGGGACATTGGGTATAAAATATGTCCTCGATTATAGATAGGAAGACGGCAAATTTCGTGTCTTTTTGGAAAAATTGAAGAGAAATTGGACTTCAGATTGAATGTTAACGGGTTTTCTCCCTTATAAGAGCATTGATTATGATTTCTATCGAAGCCTCCTCCTGAGAATAAAAGCGGTTGGCAGCATTTGTATGATTACGAGATAATCAATTTTTAATTTAAGAAAAAAATGCATCAGATTCTGTGGCCTGTGACTCATAGTAAGGTTAATCTTACCTTTTTGAGTTGGCAATTATGTTTTTTCGATCAACTGTGCAAAGTTTGAAATGTTTTTTCCTTCAAAATCAGCCGTAACTTCGTCCTAAAAAATGTCCCTTGCCCTAGCAGCGAGTTTAGCAAAAAATAATTAAATTTGTTGACCAAGTTCAGGAACAACGTATCATCAATCATTTTTTTATAGGATGTGTGCTTTTACAGAAGTATCTCGTGGTTCATCCGTTTCCTCTTAACTTGGTCCAATTGAGAAATACCACTAGGTAACTCGTAAAACACTATTCATAAGTTAGTTGCGCTACTCTTTTAATAGCGTTTTGATGGGTTGACAACAGAAAATGACTAGATCCGCCCAAACGCCTAGTTTCTATACGTTCAATATGTAGGGAGATATCGCCCTTCAACAAACACGGTGTGTGACGTCATCCATCGTGGCACCACATACCATGTTTTCTTACATCTTTGGTTCATCTATTAGTGATACATACAAAGCAGAAGAGGGTGATTTTGGTAGGAAATTTTATGTTCTTTCTCCTGGTTTTTTTTTCGTCAGATTAACCGTTGAGAAGATATTTCCAAAAAACTGATCGTGGGTTTTCTCAATTTTGGAACATTCAAAATGACGGCGCCCCGAGCACCAGCCAATTTTTCTGAAGTTATTATGGGCATTTTCGGATTTCTTTATCACCTAGGAATCGAATAAAATTGGTTTGGTTCGAAGGACAGAACCCATGTTGAGCGGTGTAATCGATATTTCCCCATTTGAAGCTTGATAAAGAATCGATTATTAAGGTGTTCGTTGCGAACACCTTGATAATCGATTCATTTACATAGGTTTAAATGGCAGATCAATCGATAAATCGTAAAGCACGCCGCCCCACTGGATTTGTGGCCTCGTAATTTCTTCACTTTTGATCAACATCAGTTCATAATACAAACTATGCTCCGTACCTGAAACGGGCTCCAATACCCCGACTCGGGAACACAGATCATACATTTCGTGTTATTTGATACCCTACTAGCTGCTCCAGCAAACAACTGGTTATGCGCTACGCACAGCAAAGTTTGACGCTCGGAAGTAAAAAGTGATTGGGTTACATGCGCGGTTCGCATCAAAGGAGCATAGCACGGTGTAGGAGATCATCGTTTCTGGTTTATTCGGTTCCTTACTCAAGGTGCAGCTTTATTAAATTACTCGCTTTATTAGAGTATGCCTTAAGGGTATAGATCTCGGTTTTCAATTACCATCGACAAATAACTGAGCCTGTTATCCCTCATAAGTTTTGGTTGAACAATTCAATCATAGTAGTAGTTTATCAATAATTGAAAGGGAAAACGGTCCGCAGTAAATTGTTTCAAAGTTTCCAACCTGGTAGCTGTAGAAAAGCTTTTTACATGCGCCACTTTCTGTCGTGAAAAGGAAATGATTTTGGTGTTTTTGTTTCTTGTTTCCTTTCTTGTGTGATCATGAACTGTGGTTTAATTTGGAAAAATAAAATTTGGGGAAAAAAATAAAAAAATAAAAGCTCAAAAATTGCCATCCAAAGCAGAGTATACTTTAGGTATCGACGGGAACTAAGGTGGAAAAAGCCACGGGTGTCACTACTGCGGTGGATGACGTCATGAACTGAATTTTTTAAAGCGCGGTATCTCGTCTAATATTGAACATAGGAAGTTGTTATTTAGACTGACCTTATTATTTTTGGCCGATCTACAAGAATCAAGCATCATAATAAGATTCCGTTACCAGCGCAACTGACCCACTGCATCCGCCCTCTGGAGACGAAGTACGCTGCAGTTTGCAATGGAGATGTTGCATGTGTGAGGAACTTGCGATTTGACTGTTGATTCTTATATAAAAGTTCGCGAGAAACACGATGGTGCCACTGGTTTTCTCTGAAATCAACTCCCAAACTCAAAAAAAGCTCTCAAGTTGAAGTCAAAATGGAGGGGATATCCCACGCTATCCTGAGAGTCCACCTCTACATCAAGACGAACTCTCAATGCAAAGGTAGGGAGCAAATACATTAGTAGGGTTGCCGTATTTTCAGTTTTAGAGTCCCCAAATAAAAAGGGCAGCCCCGTCAATGTATTTGCTCCCTATCTTTGCATGGCGAGTTAGTCTTGATGTAGAGGTGGACTCTCAGGATAGCGTGGGATACCCCCTCCATTTTGACCTCAACTTGAGAACTTTTTTTTTAGCTTGGGAGTTGATTTCAGAGAAAACCAGAGACACCATCGTGTTTCTCGCCAACTTGTACCTAAGAATCAGTAGTCAAATCGCAAATTCCTCACACATGCAACATCTCCATTGGAAGTATCTTGTTGGGTGGACTCGGAATAAGCCAAGACTCGACAGCATGAAACGAGAGACCTAGGTTCCTCCGCTCAGATTCCATGCCATCTGTCCTTGCCGAGATGAGACTCCACCATCACCTTGTGTTGCAGCTCCATTGACATCCGGGCTCCGACCCGCTCCTCTTTGCGTTGCTCATTGCATACCCTCGCCAGTTCCGGCGCCCCCGTTTTCCCCCCGCGTCGGCTCGTTCTGAGCGTCGTCTCTAAGCTGAATATTCATAATTGGAGACTTGTTACTCGAGTCAGCGCGTCCTGTTACATCTGCAGGGTTGTCACAAGTCCATTGGTTGCAGGCCAGAAGCCGATCCGATACCAGGAAGTAGAAATGAATAAACATTTCCCAGCATTATTTGGACCCCGTTAAGCAGAAAGGAACGAAGAAACATCAGTTTTTGCCAAATTTAATTGGGAAATTTAATTTTTTACATGAAAACGGTTGTGCGGATTTTTTTCGCAAATTTCGATGGATTTTTACGAAGTAAGAAGAAAATTCCTATAATGTTTCGGAGGTATCTGGACAAACGTACCCTTGTAAAAAATTAAATTGCCCTAGCTGTCAAATTTGGCAGTAGCTGATATGGCTTGGTTCCTTCCTGCTGAACGCGATCCATTCGTGATGGAGTCAGGAAAAATGATCCTTGAGGTGATTTCTAATTCTCTCTTAAAATTTTCAATGAACGATTCTAAAAATTCAAGCTTGAGCGTAACACAACTGGACTACATTTTACAATTTGTTACTATAAATTCTTACCCGGTTCAAAAACAACGTATGTACCATTAATTTTCCTATGCACGTAAGTGTTTTTCCAGAAGAGCCTGAATTTATAGTTCCAAATTGCAAAATTTAGTCCAACTGATGGACGATTTACTGCATGTTTCCCTGGTGCTCTTTTGTATTCGGGTGATTTTTCAAATTTTTTTTTTCGGTTATTTGGGCGTATTTATGCTAAAAGGGACTATGTTACACGCAAACCTTATGCATATAGTTCCTTTCAGCATAAATACGTCCATTTGTTCTGTAAACGGATGACTTCTCCCCGCAACGATTTCGGAACGCTGTTCTCCACCCTTTTTTTTAAACAATTACGTGATGCTTTGTTTGACCCTCCCCCCTTTCTCAAATTGGCGTTTTAAGATGAATTTTGAATGTAAAATTTTCGTCTCACGTAGGTTTTCATCTTAGATTTTCGGAAGCTACACGAGGTGAGTGGTTGCAGTAGACAATAAGGAAGTAAGCGATAGACTAACTACTTTAACATGTGCAACACTCGAGAGATCCTACAGTTCAGTCCATCATCCCCCTCTCAGTCTATAACAACCACCCGTTTCAACCAATCAGATAGCTCCATTTTCCCTTTATCCTCTTTGTCGATCGTTCTGCCAATCAATTTCAATAATTAGCCGTATTTATGTATTTTATGAAGGGATTTATGTGCATAGTCTAAATTGTCTCAATCATCGCACATATTTTTCCGTTGTCACCTTTCCGACAGTTCCGTTCCAATAAAGTTAACAAACTGTGGCAAGTTCTCTTCCTGTAAATGCCTCCAATTAATCGACTACGGATCAGGTTGACGTTGCCAAATTTCTCCAGAAACGTTGCCTCATTCGAGTGAGAAGGCATGCAAATACACGTCTATTAACTCGTAGAAGCGGCAGTCATGTCCAGCCGGGAAAGCGCATTTTTCATTGCGCAAATTCGAGTTTCCAGCGCCGTGCCATTCATCACACGAATACCTTTGAGAGGTCAATTCGGCGGGTATTAGTGTTGCATAAAAACGAGTTCCCGGAAAAGCCGATTGTAAACTGNGGGGGGGGGGGGGGGGCGACGTGTTCGCGAATCGTTGTTTTGTCCTCTCCCTGGATTCTACATCCATGCATTTAACTTTTACTTCTGTCCAATCAGCGTATCAGTAATGCCGTGTAGAGTACTGCCGTGCTAAAGAAGAAAACCGAAATTACTGGAAATATTGCGTATATTATTTTCCGAAATTTTCATTAAATTTTGTACGCAATTTAATCTAAAATATCCGAAAATTTTGAGGAAAAATATGCATAAATGTTGTCAAAAATACATGTTTTATCAAGGGAAATTTGGCAACTCTCGAATGTTCATACGGC